GTGGCTACCCGAGTTTTATTTCGGATATTTCCTCCTAGCTTTTGAATATTTTGCAGTAGTTCTTCATTTTTTTTACCTGATTATTTCCCCCATCACCCTTCCGAACAATAGAATGGCGGAATTCGACGTCCCGTGGTCCAATCAGAACAGAATTATATCGACAATTTCCTCAATTCTGATTTTGACCAATGACAGTGCAGTATTCGGGGTCATGTGACGCGTTTTACACTGACAATTTCCTCAATTCTGATTCTGACCAATCAGAGTGCAGTATTCGGGGTCACGTGACGCGTTTCATACTGATAATTTCCCCGGCTGCAGGGAAATTATTAGACTGATAATTTCCCTGTAGCCAGTGTGACCAGATCGTAACGTCGGCCCATTTAAAATTGTACAGGATTTGGCTATAAATAGCCAAAATCTGGCAACCCTGGCTGTAGCCTGTCAATTGTTTTCTACGAATTTGACAGATATTCCTCACATTTTGGTGAAATGCGTCCCGTAACCCCGATCACAGCACCCTGATCGGCTAAAATCAGAATTGAAGAAATTGTCCTCCGAATACCCCTCGACCTTCAAAATTCATCGGATATCTCTCTCAAGTTTTCCTGCATAGCAACGATCGGGATCAGTTTTGCAGTAAAATCCCTCGCGCTGTGCACTCGGAATTTTAATCTGCAAAACTGATCCCTCTCGCTGCGATGCAATAAAACATTCGGGAAATATCCGATAATTTTGAAGGTCTTGGGGTATTATAGCTGATAATTTCAACTGATAAGTTAACGAAGGAAAAATTATTTTTTTGTTTCAAAAACAACCAATTAATTTCTGCCTTTTTTACAATAAATAGTTATATCCAAAAATATTGATAAGAGGACAATTATCAACTAATTTTTTTGTTATAATTCTCTCAAATAATTAAAATACTCTCAAATAAATTGATAATTCTCTCCATGTTTCTCCTTTCGATGTTATTTCTGCTGTGAAGAATACCAAAATTCAACAATTTTCCACAATTTGAAAGAATTAAATAAGAAGAGTGAAGAATTTATGACCCTGAAGTTTGCAGACAAAAATCTTCAACAGAGCATATCTGATGAACAAATTGAACAATGAGAAAATTTCAAATTTCAATTTGTCGGGTGTGACGAAATCTAATCGTGATGGTGGCTGAATATGTGAATAAATAAATTAGGGGTTGATTTCATAAAAATTCAACTATGGAAAACCATTGACACAGCACATCTGACTCCGGAATCATTTTATTGGAAAAAAAACATAGTCACGATTTTCATTCTACGAAATTTCGACGTGGTTTTTGTCCTTTTTTTTCTGGTCCTATCGGTTAACGTTAAATCCGCTGTAGAACACTAAATCTTTGGCAAGCTCCATTATTCAACCAAATGATCCGATCGAAAAAAGAAAAAGCATCACGTTTGAAGAAATTATAAATCTTCTCATGATGTTTCTTGTTTTTTGTAATAAATGTTTCATTAATGATATATGCAATGTTTTCCACGAGGGAAAACATCAACAGAGGATATCTACGAGGAAGATACGTAGATTGGGACAAAAAACTAATGAAACGTTGAATTACAATAAAAACTCAACGTGAAATTTCTTTTTTCGATTTCTCTTCGATATTTCTATCGAAAATTATGGAATTACGAAAACAAATACGATCAACATCGGATATCTTTTACAAAAATGATTATATTCTTAAAAAATCGACATTTATACATGTTATTCTTGAAAACTCTTCCGTGAGTTTCTTCTTTTTAGGGCTGCGCACGAGACGAGACTTTCGACAGTCACATCTCGGTCTCGAAAAATATCCAAATTTCCAGTATCGTCTCGGTCTCGGTTAAGAGAATATCGTCTCGGTCTCGTGAGGATAAAAGTTAGAAAATAGGAAAAATAATTTTTCTTCAAAAAGTCACAAAGAAATGGTCAAACTTCATCAAAGGTCACAGGAGGATGGTCAAATTTCACGGGGGTCACGAGAGTAACAAGGGGCTGCTCAAATTTCACGAGGGTTAAACGTCACGGGAGTCTTTAGAGGATGGTTAAATTTTTCGAGGGTCAAACATCACGAGGGTCTCAACGGGATGGTCAAACATCACGAGGGTCACGTAGGTCACAAGGGAATGGCCAAACTTCACGAGGGACATGTGGGTCACAAGGGAATGGTTAAATTTCACGAGGGTCAAAAATCATAAGGGTCACAAAGGGATGGTCAAACTTCACGGCCGTCGCGAGAGTCACAAGGGTGTCACATTCAACACTCGTGAAATTTAATCATTGCGTTATAAATCTTACGAGAAATTTAGTCTCAGAGAAATGTGAAGACAAAAAGAATGATAAAAATAATGTGCGAATGTTTGAGAAAGTCCGAGCATTTTCTCAAATTTTCTAGAAAATCCGAGAATTTCCCTTAGGATATTCGACCCTCGTAAAATTTGACTATCCCCTCGTTATCCTCGTGATGTTTGACTCTCCTGGAGTGCCATCATCCTCTTGTGACTCTCGTGATGTTTGATCCTTGTAAAATTTAACTATCCCCTAGTGACTCTCGATAAATTTAAGTACTCTCTTGTGACCCTCGTAACCCTCGTGATCCTTGTGAAATTTGACCATCCCCTGTGATCCTCGTAAAATTTGACTATCTGCTCGTGACTCTTGTGATGTTTGAGCCTTGCAAAATTTGATCATTCCCTTGTGACCCTTGTAATCGTCCCGATTTTTTACCCTTGTAAAATTTGACCCTCCCCTCATAATCTTCGTGATGCTTGATCCTTGTGAAATTTAACCCCTCACGTACGGGCTCGGTATGTCAGACCGACCTATGCAAAAACGCGCGGCTCTTTTCAAAATTGAATATTTCCGAAACTATGGTAGATAATACAATCGGACTAATACCATTGGGAAGGTGAATACTGTAGCTTCAATTATATATTTTATTTCTAATTTTTCATTCATCAGAAAATCTGGCATGCGAAGAGTATTGAGCGTGTGGTAGACTTGGTATCAGAAAGGCCCCGTACGTGAGGGGCTTCTCTGTGACATATTTTTTTGCCATTTCCTCGCAAAATACACTTTGTTAAACGATTAGATATAAGAAATTCAGCGTCACGACTAGAGCATCCATTGTAGATCCCTGAGAATAATAATTAGAAGCAAAGCAACGAATATCACGTAACAATTGGGAGAGAATGTGAAGTGTGATTTTTTTTCCTTTCAACATCATTGTTCGTATAGCAGATATCCGATGTTAAACGTATTTATTTTCGTAATTCTACTATTTTTCATGGAAAGAAAGAAGAGAAATTGAAAAAAAATACATTTCACGTTGAGGTTTTATTGCAATCCAACGTTTCATTTGTTTTTTGTCCTGATCTACTTATCTTCCTCGTAGTATCCTCTGTTGATGCTTTCCCTCGTGAAAAACATTGCATATATCATTAATGAAACATTTATTACAAAAAACAAGAAACATCACGACCAGATTTATAATTTTTTCAAACGTGATGCTTTTTCTTTTTTCGATCGGATCATTTGGATGAATAATGAAGCTTGCCAAAGATTTAGTGTTTTACAGCGGATTTAACGTTGACCGATAAGACTAGAAAAAAAAGGCAAAAATCACATCGAAATTTCGTAGAATGAAAATCGTGACCATGTTTTTTTTCCAATAAAATAATTCCGAAGTGACATATGCCGTGTACATAGTTTTCCATAGTTAAATTTCGAACACCGTCATTTATTTATTCAAATATGTAGCCACCATCACGATTAGATTTCGTCAGGCCCGACAAATTGAAACTTGAAATTTTCTAATTGTTCAATTTCCTCACCAGATATGCTCTGTTGAAGATTTTTGTCTGCAAACTTCAGGGTCATAAGAATTTAGTTCTTTTTCACTACTGAATCCAATTTTTGGAGGAAACAATATCAAATATCAAACTCATAATAAATGAACAATCCGTGTGCTTTGCCTGTCATCTCTGCATCATTCGACAATCGAGAAAAATCCTCACACAAATAGACTCCATTTTCGTCATTAATTACCTAAACTCCACGTAAATACCACTTCATTATAAAAATTAATCACATGTAAACTTCCGAAAGCACAAAAATAGTTTGTAAAAGACGACTTTCCAATAACGAAGATAATTTCAACAGAAAAGTTAACAACAGAAAAATGATTGTCTTTACGTTCCCACAACAGCCAACTAATTCCGGCCTCTTTATAATGAATAATTACATATTGAAACATTGATAAGAAGACCATTATCAACTGATTTTTTGGGATTCAGTGATAATTTTCTCAATTTTTCTGTTTTCAATATTATTTCTGCTATGACGAAGACCAAAATTCAAGAATTTTCCACAACTTGAATGAGTTAAAAATAAGATGAACACTATTCAAGTAAGAGGAGTAAGGTTTTTTTTCACTGTAAAATCGAGTTTTCGAAGCTAATAATAGTAAACGTCATCCATCGCTATACAATAATTACTGTATAATTCTTTCACTGATAATTCTCTCCATGTTATTCCTTTAATATCGAAGAATTTCCCCAAATCCAATAATAATAAACCTCACGAAGTGTTAATACCAGCCCTCGACCCTAACGACCCGTTCATTTTACTAATGGTGACTAGAAAAAACATTGGAAGAAAAAAATTGCATTTGCTTTCCCCGCAAGTGAAGACGATATAAATCCGGTTAAACTCTTTCCCCGCTCTGCACGGTCAAGTTCTAGCCAACGTCCTGGCTGATGGTCGGTTTAAAGTATTGCTTTTACCTCAAGTTCATGTAGGAAGGGGCCAATGGGGATATAAAACCGTAACGGGAACACAACAACGTTCAGTTACGGTGGGAATCCCCATGAAAACGGGAGCCCATTCGAATTATACAGATTCAAAAAATATCATTTGATTTTTTTTTCACATTGTGATTGTTATTTTCGTTCAACTGTGATCAATCAAATCGACCAAAAATGTTGTCAGTGAGTAAAACACAATTTAATGCTCATTAATTATTCATTGAACATTCATTTCGCGCTCAATCGAAATCGCGGAATTTCATCGCGTTCTGCTCTGTTATCTTATGATTCTGTCGATGGAATTGGAGTTATAAATAATTTGTTTTTTCCAGCCTGCAATAACAGCCGGATTCGTTCTAGTGGCAATTGCTGGAACATCTGTCAACAGTAAGTTTTCACTTTCATTCAGTAGATCCCTTTTGTGGTGTTGAAATATTAAACGAGGGATAACGAGTGGAAAAACATGTTTCGTTGAACGAAAATAATCGCGAAATGGTGAATGCAAAGTCTCAATTACCGCTACATCAAACGAGTTTGAGCTCTGTTTATAATGGAGAACTGAAATAAAAAAGAGAGAAAAAAATCAGTGTTCCACTTTCCACATAATATGGAGACGTTATGCATGGCATACATACTCAATGGCCCAAATCAGACCATATCGGAGAGGGAAGAAGTATTCTATCGACGATAGTTTTTTTTATCGAAAAATTAGAAATCCATTTGCACGGTTTGTTAGATATCGATTTGGGGGGATACTCCACATACATTATTTCACGAAGATAGCTATTAGCTACTAGTTTTTAAGGATATCCAAGTATCTTTTACAGCTTCATACAGACCACACTATAGATTCAAGCATTTTCAATCATCAAATTTGTTAATTAAATTGCGTGAGAAAAATTTGAAGAAAATCATGAATACTCAGCGTCATTCAAATTACATTTTGCACAGAATTGTTATTTTTTTAGACATTCGTTGTTTATAAATAAATCATTGAAATTGTTTTCTCGTAGAATAAAATCTATTTCTCGTAGAATTCTGAATATTAATAAATTTGTTACGATTCCAAACAAATGATTTCTATGGGGGAAACAATTGTTTATAAATTATTTATAGAAAATACTCGTAATTTTCAAAAAATGAAATTTTTAAAGTATATCATCAATCTTCCTCCAATAGTGAACATGCTAATTTTTTTTCAGATTTTTTAAATGTTTTCCAACGGTTCAACGTTTAAATAATAAAATCATTGTAAAGTGTCTGGAAATGTAGGGTCAAATGGGGCTCAAATGAAAGCTCTGATGTTCGACTACAAACGTAAAAAAACATTTCAGTGGATAAAAAATAGCCAAATTACTTTGACATCCGTAAATCGCATCGCATGTGAAAAAATTTATTAGATTTTGTTTTTTAGTTTGTATGGTTTATTCTACTTTTATGCCCACTTTTTTCTCGTAAAAACATCCAGTCAAAAACAAGGATATTTTTAGTTGATTTTTTGTATCGAATGTATTCTATCTTATTTCTTGATAAGGCGGAGAACAACTGAGGAATTTTCGATGGAATTGCCGAAAGAAGAATAGAATTCCCGTAAAGTTTTCTTGTTGCTTGAATTTCAAGGAATTTTGTCATTGAAAATGGAAAATTTTAGTTTAATTATGTCATAAAAATTAATCAAAATCACGACAATTCATAACTGTATGTGATTTGTTACTGAATATTCCAGTTTTGCTTGAACATTCAAGTAATTTATAGAATTCTAGTCCTCCTAGTGCTAAAAAATTGCGAATTTCATCGAATATTTAGTGAAATCTAATATTTCAGGATATTTTCCTCCTTAATCGAATTAAATGTCACTCCCAAAAATTACTATTCAACTGTCCATGATATTACAATTTTTCCAACGATGTAGGACATTTATTCAGTAGTAATACCCAAGAGCTTGAGTAATTATTGTTGCCAATGGGATTCTGGCCAATCAGAGTGCAGTGCACATTATCAGACGGTGAATTAGGGAAGATTTGAACAAATTATATTTAGGGGATACGTCGGTGAAATTTAAAAGTCTTTACTGGGCCTTGGGACCCATTGAACAATTTGTGATATATGACGGAATATGGGAATAACTCACGGAGAGAAATATTCAATAAAAATTACATATCTTTTCCGTAATTCCGGAGCGAAATGTGGTTGTAAGAAATTTTACGGATCTATCACGTAATTTTTATTTAAAATCACGGAATTTTTTCAGTGTTCCGTAATTTTTACCTGAATCTCCCGTAAAAAATTACGATACCATCACTGAAATTTTCTGAGCCGATTCCCTAATCGGTGAGCGAACTGTGAGTTCCGTAATTTTTACTGAACATTTCTCTCCGTGTGGGAAAATCGCGGACCTGATCGATTTCGCCCATCAAAAAATGAAGTTTCATTTTTTGTTGTTTTTACCTTCAAAATGCTCCTTGCGTCTTTGTTTTCATACGATTTCCGCTTTTTTAAAATTGTTCGTTACTCTCCAAAGAATAAAGTTAAGCATCCGTTTTACTTTATTCGCACTAGATCATGAATGAATGAATGTTGAATTTCATAAATTTTTCGCGTCTCTAGAGGAGAGTAAAATTGATGAAATTCAAAATTCATTGCATGAACACACATCGCCGTATTCCGCATCGAGAAAAGATGTAATTTATCAGAAAAGTAAAATTGTTTCTTGAATATATACCGATTTCGAAAAAAGCTAGTGAACTGCTGATTAAATGTCTTCCAGTATTCCATGATTTGTGCGTTATATCAAGATTCATCGTTTCTAACAAAAAAAACTTGAAATCGCATCGTTATGCACGGAGAAATGGTCTCGTTTACAAAAAAATACGAATTTTCGACTTTTTTCCAAATGTTTTTTGGAAAAAACTGGAGAAACGCTGAGACGATCGTCTCCATAATCTAATCAGGTTCAAGTCACATGAAAATACAGCGATTAAAAAAAAAAGAGTCAAATCGCATCGTTTGTTCAGGAGGAATCGTGGCACAAAATTTTTGTCACAGACGTACGCACACACATACACACATCCACACATACAGACAGGTACCTGAAAAGGGTCAGAAGTGGTTCCAAAGGTCATGAAACGTGGAGAAATGCTTAAATTTCCACATTCGATTTTCGGGGTCATTACAATAACTTCCTCCCTTCGGGTCGGGAAGTTAAAAATAAAGCTAAAATCGTAGGAAAAGTACGGCGCAAGGAGCATTTTAAAGGTAAAAACAGCAAAAAATGAAGAAATAAAGTTTTACGTGGTTATATGGGGTAAATTCGATCGAGTCCACGATTTTCCCTAGTTATTCCCATTTTCCGTTATATATCACAAATTGTTCAATGGTTCCCAAGGCCCAGTGATGAAGACTTAAATTTTACCGGCGTATCCCCCCAATAGAATAACCCGAGTTCCATACACTATCAAATATAAGATTCGATCTGAAATGAGCCGAAAAATGAAGAGCTACTGCCAAATATTGAGATAAAAAAAAAAGAGCTGCAGCGAAATAATCAAAAGCTATGAAGAAATACCCGAAGTAAAACTGCCGGGTAGCCTCGAATACTGTGCTCTGATTGGTCGAAACCCGATTGGGAAAAATAATCATTAAAAAATCGTTATTTACCCCCCAAAACGTCGTGATTTCCCTCTACTTGTCTCATTCACCCCTCCTCCACGTATGAAAAAATTCAATAAAAAAATTTAGCGAATTTGCTAGAAAATTCTATTGGAATTCTCTAGAAATTTCTATTAAAATTCTAGAGAATTCTCGTTAAAATTCTATTTGTTTTTTGCGCTGATTCTATGAGATTCTCTTGGATTTTTTTCTAGAGAAATACTTGGGCATGAATTTTCTAAATTTTTTTCAATCGGAACAAAATAGAGCGGAAAAGACTTGGAAAATCCGGGTCCAATAATTTTGATAGAAAAAATCTCAGGAGAAAAATTCGAATTAAAAAATTAAAATCTGTTGACTTTTTCCTATTAAATATCTTACAGAATCTGATCAAAAACAAATAGAATTTTAACGAGAATACCCTAGAATTTTAATAGAATCCTCATAGAATTTCTAGAAACTTCCAATAGAATGTTCCAGCAAATTTTCTAAGGTTCTCTATTAATTTTTTTCCTGCGTGTCACAAAAATCTATGACCTTTCAGGTTACACAATTGGTCGCGTTCAGGACTACTCCTCGCCGAGCTACAACCCCAGTAGCTTCACAAGCCTGAAGGAGCCCCAGAGCATAATCTCCACAAATTACGCAACATCAATTTCCCCGCGTTACTCCTCAGTCTACGGTCCCTCTTCCTCCCATCCGGAGGTATCCCAGCCGAGTGGATATGTCGGTCACTCGAGTGGGAATGCACCAGAGGCCTTGAACACTCTCACAGCATCGTACCAGAGTGATTCAGGGTCAGACCACCCCAGCTACTCATCCCCCCAGAGCATCGAGTACGCCGCAAGCGCCCACAATCCCGCCTCGGGGTCCGTCAGCTTCTCAGGATACGCGGGGAGTCACGGATCGAGTCAGGACTTGGGGGTGGAGTACGCATCCCCGTCGACAGCCTCTTCATCCTACTCGTCGTCCCCGTTGAGTGGCTACTCGGCGTCGAAGGCAGCCGCTTACACCAGCAGTGTTAATCACCCCAGTAGCCAACACAGTTCCTCCTATCCTTCGAGTTCAAACGTGAACTCTGCGGCAGGTCACTCGTCCTCGCCCTCCGGGGGTCACGCCTCCTACCCCGGATACTCCGGGTCATTCTCCGGAGGCAGACACACCGGGTCGTCGTACCCCGCCGAACACCCCCAGAGCAGCTTTTCCGACGGCCACAGGTTATCCCCGAACGCTCTGAAGAGCTTCATGAGCAGCCTCCACAGGGAGTCCCCTGGAAGCTACCACTCCTCTGGCCCCAGTCACTCCCCCAACTATGTCCACCCAGCCCTCCCAAGCGCCAGCTACTCCAAGTCCCCAGGGGCCTTCTTCAGCGGGGGCTTCCCCAAAGGCGCCGGAAAAATAATCATCATCAAGGATGGATCTGGGGCACACGCTCTCATGCATCCTGAGTCGAGCTTTCCCAGTGGAATGTTCTCGGGTGGATCTGGGTACAAAGTGAGGAGTGCGGGACCTTTCTCCTCTGGACATCACTATGGAAGTCCCAGTAGTAGCTACAGCCACTCACCCGGGTATTCCGGGACGAGTGGGCATCCTAATGCTGCGGCATCTGGTACCTCTTACTTCGGGTATTCATAGGGTTTATTCGAGTGTTCTTGATGGGGGACTGATAAAGTTATTCTTCTTTATTTATTGTTGTTGATATTTGAATTTATTTTAATGCATATGACCGTTGGTGTAATATTGAGTTGAATAAAGTGTGATGGAAAATAGAATTTTGTTCGTCATTTATTGTATGGAATTTATGAAGGCACTAGTTTAGGAAGAAATGGATTCACTAAGAGAAAAATCGACATAATATCACAACAATTCTTTCTTGAGCGGAAAACATCGCATACATTTGATCAATTTATGGTAGGGTTCAGACAATCGGTGCTCTTTCTTCGGGTATTGATAGGGTTGTTCAAGTGTTGTTGATGGGGGACTGATAAAGTTATTCTTCTTTATTAATTGTTGTTGATATTTGAAGTTATTTGAATGCATATGATCGTTGGTGTAATATTGAGTTGAATAAAGTGTGATGGAAAATAGAATTTTGTTCGGCATTTATTGTATGGAATTTATAAAGGCACTAGTTTAGGAAGAGATGGATTCACTAAGAGAAAAATCGACATAATATCACAAAAATCATTTCTTGAGCGAAAAACGTCACATACATTTAATCAATTTATGGTAGGTTTCAGACAAGAAATGGGTGCTCTTCGGGGCAAGGAGGAAGTTACTGAATGAAAAGGTGATGTCTTTTTCCGAAATGAGATAATATTCCTTAAAAGACAAGAATAGTTTAACAGAAGGAAAAGAAAATATTGCTTTCCTTCCAACTGAAAGCGATTGAGCATATGCGACGGTTATATTTTTTTAATGTCTGGAGGTTTCCCTCTGCATAAACTCTCTATTCATTCAATATGAAAGTCTCTGATTCATGATTCACTGAATCGAAGCTTTTAATATTTTTCGTCATTTTCTCATCGTCTGACACGAAAAAACCGATTTCTTGTGGCAAGAAATTCTCACTTTATCATAATATGTTCATTGTCTGACACATTATCCGGAATTCTTATCCCAGGAAATTTATCCTCAAAAGATGAGATATTTGACGCAAGAAATTAGCTTTGTGATATTATGATATTTCTCTCAGTGTTTAGTAGCAAACGAAGACCGTTTGTGATACACTTTATTCCATCCTCGATGAAGTCCTTGGTGGCTTGCTGATTTGTCCGGGTGCTGCGGCTGAAGGAGGTGGAGTTCTCGTGATCTTTGGCTTCGCGGCAAAGGCCTCCTCCTCGTCCTCTCGTACTAGTTCGTCCGTCCGCGTTACTCCAGACGTGGCACTGCAATACAGTGGAAAATCAGTTGTTCAGTGATTCACGACAATTCGGAATTGCAGGAGAGATATAAAAACGAAAGTCAATAGCATAAGAAAGAATACAACTCTCACGTAATATTGTGAAAGGGCACTTACAATGATGGGATACTGTCCACTCCATCCTCAACTGAAACATAAAATGTTGAACGTGATGAAGAAAACTACGAGTTCCAGTCAAATTTATATCCTGTTTTCCATTTACTTTCGTTTAGTACGTGATCCACTTGTTTTCATTGTTTTCAGGTCATGAACTGTATTCACTTATTTACAGTGAAAGTCTATAATTTCACCGAAACAGAGAGAACCCTTTATTCGTACGTCCTCGGTATTTTTGTTTCATTGGCTTTTCAAGTGAATTACCACAATTTTTCTCTTTTTCATTCGCCTTTTACTTTGAGAATTTTTTTACCTTGAATTGGTTCGCCAGATGAGATCGCCGTCGTTACATTTATGGAACTTTCCCTGAAATGAAATTAACAATTTTTTCATCAATTCAATTAGGAAAACCTGAGGTATAGATAGAGATAATTGATTGATCTCATTGAACTCATTGATTTTCACTGACAAGTGAGTGGAAGTAATGGGATCATTAATTCATTAAATAATTGATGTAATGTATCGGATCAAATTAACTGCATTCTTAAGGCAAAATCCAATAAAATGTCCAACTTTCACGTTCGTTAAATACGAAAACAAATTAATTTTCCGAAATTTCCATCATCAATAGAAAAAATTCGTGAATTTATGGAAAAATTTCAATCAAAATTTTTCATTCATAGTTTCATGGAAATATGAACAATCAATATCCATTATTGGAGAAATTGGAAGATGTCATACCTCATTATTGATTGTTATCGTAATGAAGAATATCCAATTGCAATTGTCGGTTACTTAACAAATCGAAAATGTTATACGCTATTGAAATAATTGAAAGTCTCAGTAACTCATTTACGATAAAATGAAAAATAATTGCTTGTTATTATTCATCAATCAAATAATATATGAATGATTGTAACTGAATTAAAATTAACAGAATTATTAATTTATGAATAATAATAATAATAATAATAATAATAATTTATTTCGATGTATGGCTGGAGGCCTTTTACAGATTAATTTATTAAATAACTGATGTAATGTCATCGGGTTAAATAAACTGCATTTTGAGGTAAAAATCCAATAGAATATCCAACTTTCACATTCATACCCAAAAACTCAATTTTTTAATTTTCAGCTTGAATAAAAACTAGGTATTAATTGCGATTCATTCATACAAAAAATTTTCATTCCAAATTTTCACAACATTAACGATTAATATTATCCATCATTCAAGAAATTGAAATATGTCACATTTCATTATTGATTGTTATAGTAATGAAGAATACCCAATTGTGATTATCGGTTAAGTAACAAATTGAAAATGTTTAAATACGATCGCTCATTGATATCTAGTTTCACGATATAATGAAAAATTTTCTCTTGTCAGTCCTTATTAACCAAATAATATCATATAGCTCATCAACATCAAAGTTTATGCGATATTCTATGAGTCACTGAGCCTTGTGATTGGCATACGTATACACTTTCGCGACTATCCCAGAATTCCTCAGATGAATCCGTTTTAGATTGTGAAACTTTCCAACTCTTCAGGAGCCAAACTTTTACGCGCTACGAAATTTTTCTCTCCTAGTTATCGTGAAATCGTTTTTCCTCCATAAGTACTTTTTAGTTAATTTCCACCGTCTTCCGGGGAACTGATGAAGTAATTGGATCGATCAAGTTTCGTAATTGAGGTCTGGGAGGGTGAAGAAATTAATAAAGACAGTCTTGAATCCACTGACAGGTTTTCTTGATTCTCCAGCAATTTTATAGTTGGAAGGGAGTTCTCGGATGGATCCCCGAAGGTGAGCAATTTCACGGGATTTGGGTACTTGGGTTTGTGGTTCTGGGGCGTCAATCTAAAGAATAATTATTATTTGTGTCCATTCATTATATTAATTGATGAATTATATATCGTGTATTTTGATGGAGGCATCGTGCATTGAGAGAGAAAAATTGTTTTCGTGATACCTGCTTGAAAAGTTCCCTTTTCGAAAGTGTTTAGGGCGCGTAAAGTGCTTGTTTTACGCAGTTCGTGCACAAAAACAGCCACTTTACCCCCACTACCGTTCCGAACAGTGAATTTCGCAGGTATCACAAAAAATAGGATGTTTTACGCGTGCGTGCAAAAAAGTGGTTCTTTACGCACTTGTAACACAATACTATTTCACCACTCGTGCGTAAGATGAAATTTTACGCACGCTCCGCGTGGGCAAAATTAGGTGCGCAAAATCCCACTTTCACACATTGTGATGAAAAATAGAGTTCGATACTCGTCGGAAAAGTGTTCTCTGACCCTCGGGACAGTAACACTCGCTATCGGTGAGCGCTACACACCTCCCACGTGTCAAAAAACAGTTTCGCGCACTTGTATCGAAATATACTATTCTCGAACAAGTCTCGTTCGAACAAAAAATGCCATTTCAAGATTATCAAACAAAAAACGATCATTGTTGAGAGCAGATTATTCATGTTTGAGACTTTCAATTCAAATAAAAAAATTTCGTTTTCGGTCATTTTTAACTTGCGATTTTGTCGGTCCAAATAAGACTTGTTTGACAAGATGTTGGGTTAGGCTTCCGAATGGAAGCGTGGTATTCGTAAAAACCGAAATATTCAATTTTTTGTGCCAGGATTACTAATTTTGGCTTCAGGAGTTCGAAAATGTTTACACCATATCCGGGTAATTTTAACGTTGGGGGAATGTTGGCGACTAATGTTGGGGCAATGTTTTCGACCGACGTTGATACAATGTTGGTTGTCACCGTTGGGTCAATGGTAGCGACCAAAACAGGGGAAATGTTGGCTACCAACGTTGGGATAATGTTGGCTGTCACCGTTGGACAATGTTGGTAACCAACGTTCGATTAACGTTGGGTCAAAGTTGGCGACCAACGTTGGGGCAATATTGACGACCAATGTTGGGGAAATGTTGGCTACCAATGTTCCGATAATGTTGGCTAGCAACGTTGGACAATGTTGGCTAGCAACGTTGGACAATGTTGGCAGCCAACCTTGGGACAATGTTGCCTATCAAGGTTGGGGCAATCTTGAATTTAATGATTCGTCATAGAAGTTGATATTCAACGAATCGTCCATTCGGAAACAAATTCCTGATTTATTAGCAAAAATATATTGACTATGTTGTGACGAAAGTAATTTCCTTGTACATTACTTGTTCTTCATGTGTGAGCTTAAGATGAGGAAAATTACCTCGATGGTAGGTTTTTCCCGGTGATTGATCCACTTTCATTATCATCCTCTCTATTTTTCGATTTAGTTAAAATAGACTCTGGTATGCGATGCACAACCGTCGGTGATTTCGCATGTATTACGTCTAGATTATCAAGAGGGAGATCAGTGGTCAGAGAGTAGCAACTTGATAACAATGTATCTCCGAAGAGATCCCCAATGTTGACTTTAACCGGGTCCATCTCGTCCAGCTCATCTTCAAGAACATCAAATTCTTCCTACAGAAAATTAAAAGATCAAATTTCAATTCATCGCGAGAGCTATGACTCGATTAATGATTCGAATTACCCGATCGTCATCATCATTCAATAATTCTTCGATCGTTTCATTCGGCTGTCTTCGATGCCTCAGGAGAATATATTCCAAATGTTTCCTGAAAAAATATATTCATGTTTATGCTGTTATGCTTGATGCATTGGCTACAGGAAGAATGATTGAAACCTCAATTCTCCGGTTCTATGCTTCCGGTGATACTCCAGAATGGGTCCAAGTCCCATCAATTTGGCTTCTTCATTGATGGAACTATTAGCGAGGAAACTATTCAATACTCCATTGATATACGGTAATGCCTGATTGACAACCAAAAAATGAATATTCTCAAACAAGTCTTCAATAGATATGTTGGCGATTCGTTTTATGAATGAATAAGAGAGAAAGAATGACAGTGAGACGCAGAGGCACCAAATGTGGAAAGATCTAAAATGTAGGAATAATAGGAAAGAGAGAGAGAGTGTGGAAGGAGTGAGAATGTTCTGGAAGTCCGGAAGGTAGATAATAGGGAGAACATAGAGGGAGTTGAGTTCAGTTTGAGTTCTAATAGTATTGAGTTGACGAGACGACTGAGAGTTACGATGAATCCAATCGAGACTTTTGTATTACTTACTTTAATTAATAAAGACCTTCATTTTTACTTTGAAAATAAAAATCATGTGTTAAGTTTATATAACTATAATTCCTAATAGATTTCATCAATTTTCGAAGTGATGAGATATAATTCATTGAATCACCTCATTATTTAGGTCTGGAATGCCGCATGTAGTAGAATACATACGAAAAAATTTCGAATTTTTTGACATTTCTGTTGCAACATTCTGCAATTTTAATCGAAAATATTCTGCAGAAAAAATCAACAGAATTCGAATTTTCTATACAAAACTTATTTCTATTGCGATATTTCCTGTAGAAATTCCCCCCTTCCCTTTCCTCACTTTTTTTAAATGAAAAAAGAAGAAAAAAACGTAGAGGATACATAGAAAATTCATGTCAAGGAATTTTTATGGAAAACGTCTCAATAGTAAAAGTTGTATAGAAAGATGCAATTTTACTGTTTTTTTTTCTATAAAATAGTTTCTATTGGACATTTTCTATAAAAGAAACACGCAGTAAATTCGTGGAATTCTTCAATAGAATTGGTCAAAAACTAATTTAGGGAACACCAAAAATGTAAAATCGCTTATACGAAGTTGATCAATTGAACTGAATCTCTGTTGATTAATTGAAATCAATCTCCAAAACTTCGTATAAACGGGTACATATATTTTGATTGACTTAGATAGATGACATCGAGACGAGTATTTTGAAAAACAAGTGGATGTCTCGATTTTTGCACACGTTAGCGCGCGTACAAGGATTTTAATGAAAAAACAGAAAAGGGGAAATATCTCAAAAACTTTGTATGGACGGGTATACATATTTTTATTGATCTAGATAGAGGACATCGCGACGAATACGTTGAAAGAAAAAAATCTAAATTAGTCCAATAATTTTAAAGATATTCGTGAAAAACGATTTAAAAACGAAACGCTTTATCTAAAAAACTACTGGATTGATCGGGCTGAAATTGTGCACAGAGTTAGTCCTCATTAAGACCTATAATCTGACAAAATTTCAATTTTTTAAAAATTATTTTAGCCATTTAATTACTCAATTTTCTAAAAATTGACCATCGGGAAGGTGGCGGTGGACATATTCACATATAGACATGGTCGCCAAACTTCGTATTTTAACGTTTCAGACCACTCTACATCATTTCCAATGAAAATTAGAGAATGTGAAAATCAGACGATTACAAAGCTTCCATTCGGAAGCAAAAACGTTGAAAAAAAACTGAACATTTTCAAAGAGCATTTTTGACTCATATTGGGAAATAAACCCAATAGGGAGGAAATTGCAAATTAATAATTTGATGTATCTAATGGCTGTTAGGTCGCCATTTGTCACAGTAATCAACAGCTGTCAGATTGTTAGTTACCATGATAAATTATCCATTCACTATTTGCTCTCTATCGGACTTATTTCTTAATCTTTATTAAAAACGCTCTTTAAAAATGTTCAGTTTATTTTATACTTTTTTTGATTGTACAATGATAATTTTTAGGGACTTCTGCGTGAAATTGTGATATATTTTACATTATGAAGATGAAAAAATAATCGACATAACGTTCGAAAAATAATCCACCCGGGTCGTAATTGTAAAATCAACCATAAATTAATCTCAATAGTCACTCCATGGATAGTGATAAAATAGATAGGAACTATTTTTCTCTTCACGCACGAAAAAATTTAATAGAAAAACATAGCGAATTCGCTGGGCAATTCTATCGGATTTCTATGGAACTGTCTACGAGATTAGAATGTTCAATAGAAGATATTCTATAGAAAAAGTCAATAGAATTCTATTCAGATATTCTCTACAAAATTTCCTCGGCTCAAATTTGCCGTTTCGTTTGTTTTTCTTGATGAAAAGAAAAGAAAAATAAAATGGAAAAAACTTCGAAGAATCTAGTTATATTGACTTTTTCTATAGAATATTTTCTATTGGACATTTTAATAGAATTGGCCACAAACTAACAGAAAATTCAATAGAAATCCAATAGAATTGTCTAGCAAATTCAGTAGCCTTTTCTACTGCATTTTTTCGTGCGTGTTGGTAATCATCAGGAAATTATCTCGTTGATATTTCCTCTCAGTCAACAACAACATCATCAACCTCAGAAGATCGTAATAACTCACTGGCAAGTGTTCAGTAGACAGCAAGGCAATCAGGGTGGACATTACCATGGTGGCCATAGCAGCGGCTCTTATCTGTGCCTCTTTATGCAGCGATAGGTTCATTAACAAGGCAGTAGCATATTCAAGCCTGTACGAGCCCATTGAGTGGCACTCGGCTTTCAAGTGATGGATGAGCCATTCAACGAGGCCAGAGGCAATCATGTATAATCGTTGGTGTCTTCTCAGCGAGAGTTTTTGCAGCATTGCGATTATCATGTCGCAGGTGAATGCATCTATTGAGTCTGCGTGAGTGCTATCCAGGCATTGTACCACCTAGAATCATCCACACGTTAAAACATTAACTCATAATTTTTTGCTTCCGAATGGAAACATTGTAATCGTTCAAATTTAAGTTTTGGTTTTTTCTGTGATATCGACCCATTATGATCCAAAAAGTCCGCAAATGCAATTTTTAGACCGTGTCCGACGTATATCTGTATGTACAGTCGAACACTAAAGTTCGTAAACAGAATACATAGGATCAGGAGTTCAGGTTGTCCTCGAACTTTAATGCTCGACTGTATGTATGTGTGTGGTAAAGTTTTTCTTCAATTGTTCGCTAATGAGTGGATTTAATTGAATCTTTTTTCAAATGTAGGTATTGTTAAGGCCCAATGTTGAATTTTTTCGAAAATCGGTTGTCTCAGGATTACTAAAAAAATATTCTGAATTGATTGAATGATGGCTTAAAAGATTTGTTTGCATATCCTTTTGACCGAGTTCGAAGATGAAGGCGATAGCAATAATCGTTATTTTGATTTATTCGAAAATTTCCAAAAAATTTGGATTTTTTGAAAATCTGAATTCCGGGGATATCTTTGAATATCATGCCTCAAATGAATTCAATCATAGCTTAAAATATTTTTTTTATTGCCATTACGTCGAAGTTAAAGGATCATTACTATAGCTATATTGTTTGATTTAATTTTTCGATGATTGTTGAAAATTTACAATGTTTCATGAATTTCCCTGAAAGTGAGCTTTCTGATGGTTCCTTCAAATGTGATGTTTCAAATTTATTCAAATATGTGTAAATAAAATTTTTCTATTAACATTTCATCGAAGGACTGAGGGGAGAGATAGAACTGTAAAAGAGACAATCGGTTGTACAGAAGAAAATGGATAGTGAGAATAATGATGCTAATAACATTCAACTAAGTTGAAAATCTAACAAAATTAATTAACGAGAAATCTTATTCAATTTAATAAAATAAAATAAACAATGAAGTATACATGATAGAAGGAAATTATGTGCAAAATAAACATTCGGAAGCATATTGCTAATTTATTAGCAAAAATAATTAAACGATATACACCACAAGAGCAATTTCCCACTTGTTCATTGTCAGTTTCATCAAATAAAAAATATTCATCAATCATAAATATTATTTCATTTAATTAAGTGATTGATGATATCCAAGTATCTTTTAGTTTGGTTAGGCCACACTACAGATTCAACCGTCTTCAATCATCAAATTTGTCAATTAAATTGCATTGAGAACAATTTGAAAAAAAAATCATTAATATTCAGCATTCAAATCGTTCAAATTACATTTTGCATAGAATTATAATTATTTTTAAGATTCGTTGTTTATAAATAAATAATTGAAATTCTTTAAATATTCGGGAACAAAGTATTTTTATGATGGGAAATTGATGGTTTATAAGTTATTTAATCAATCTTCCTCCAAAAAGTAAACTTTCTAATTTTTTTTTAGTTTTTAAAAATGTTGTCTAACGGTTTGATATCGAGAGCTAAATTCAGACAATGTATAAATAATAAAAACATTGTAAAATGTCCAGACACAGGGGAAAAGCATTTCACTGGAGAAACGATAGCTAAAGTACTTGGATATCCTTAAGTGATACTAGTTCATGGATTGAATTACAGTTGAAAAAATTTTTGCACTTTTGTGCGTTTTTTAACATAGAATGTCCAATGGAAATCACTCCATAGCGAAAAATCAGTAGAATCTGATATTTCTATACCATTTTTGCTACTTTCTATAGGAATTCCTCGATATACATTTTTGTTTTTCATTCCATTTCTCGTTTCTCGTTTCATTGAAAAAATTAAACAAAAAACTCAGAAAAATTCGAGCCGCTGAATTTTTATAGAAAATATTTCAATATAATCGGCCAAAAATTAATAAATTGTTTAATTAATGCATAAATTTAAAAAAATAGTTAATCAATTAATTAATTAATTTTTTTGACAGCGAATTCGAGAATTTGTTCGATGGATTTTTTCGCATATCATGTTTTGTTTAATTCATTCATTTATTTCCATCATTAAAAACGTCATTCTCATTAAAATATTTTTATTGCAAAATGATGAATAACACTAACCGACTTCCTCATTAACAATGAATCTCCGATCATAAACTTCAGTTTTATGACCTCAAAAACTGTTATTTCTTAGGACTTTCCGCATTTTAAGGAAGCAAAAATATTTAACAATCTCGTACCAGAAAACTAATAAAATTCCCACTATAAATTAATTCGAAACCCAACAGAATTTTTCATAGAATTCCCTAAGTTTTTCTATGAAATTTTTTCATGGGTGCAGCATGAAAAACGTAATCGTAAAATTCAGTAGCGAAACGGTAGAGGTTTCGAGGAATATCTCTGAATCGAAGGTAGATTGATAAATTTTTGTAAGAACTTCTTTTGTAGCTTTTCATCTGCTCTACAAAAAATGTTATGATAAAAATTTAGTTGGTTTGCCTTAGATCCCGACATATTTATTGAAAACTGACTAATAGTCAAAATCGACTTAAGGGTATTATGGCGGGGTCCATAGCTGGAAAAAAAAAGCAGAGAATTCAATGAAAATTGCTGAACAGATTATTTGATCCATTTGAAAGCCGTGTGCAAAATGTCAAGATCCCTACCTAAACAATAATAATGGGAATAAGTTTTGAAGTTGCTACTTATACACGCGGTTGAATGGGGCATCGGTAATTTTAGTGCTTTTCCTACGTTATTGATCTATCGATAAAACCACAAAAATCACAAAAATTATTCCCATTGCTATTATTTAGGTGGGGGTCTTGACATTTTGTACATGGCTTTCAAATGGATCGAATAATGTATTCAGCAATTTTCATTGAATTTTCTGCTTTTTTTCCAGCTATGGACCCCGCCATAATACCCTTAAACCGTTTTACCGTTTCGCTACTAAATTATAAACAAAACTAACCGACTTCTTGATTAACAATGAATCACCGATCATAAACTTCAGTCTTATTCCCTCTAAAACCATTAGTCCTTACCACATTCAGCACTGTGGGTCCCATCGCGAGATAATCCCTCCCGCATTTCAGTGAAGCAAAAGTATTCAACAGCCTCGCCGCAGACTGCTGCACCGGATGCGGCTGTACGACATCCAGAGGTACCAATAAATACGGCAGAACAGCTCTCCCCGAGTCCCCGGCGATCTGCCCGTGCAAACCGAGCAAATCACTATTGATAAACTCATTAACCACTTCGTCCCTCTCGTCAGTCTGGCTCAGAGTAATCTTCCACCTCAAGGCCTGAAGAAGCAGCAGTTTCGTCCTGATATTTCCACTGATGAGATGAAATTTAATTTTCCTGTAGTTCAATAGCTTCGGCAAAAGTGGCACAGTCACCAGAACAGATTTATTACTGTTTCCCTCGTTATTATCACTATCGCACAGAGAAATCTTGCTGTCGCGAATATTCTTGTCGAACAAATCTGGATAAATTCTCATGCAATTTTTTAAAGTCGTCTCTATCGAGACTGGCTGCCGGTGAATAGAATTGGACAGTGATGATGTTAATTCACCGGTTATGCTCATTAATTTGTAGTAATCCGTGTGGAGTCTGTGGAAACGCATTTTTAGCTGTTGATATTTTCGGTGGACGTTTGATAACTGAGATCTCGTCAGCATCAGCTCTTGGCTGTGCTTATTCGGAGGCGTGTGGGAGGATTTTTTCGCTCGCGGAGTCGTCGGACTGGTCAATTCACTCGTTAATAAATCATTCTCTCGATTTTTCGATTGAGTTTGGGTACTTTTTGACACTAAATCGACATGGGTTTTGATCTCACTCTCGCTTTTCCGCTCGTTTTCGAGAAAATCTGGGATGTCTCGGTCGTTTGAAATCAGGGAATCGACTTTCGAATTCATTCTCGAGGAAATTCCCGCAACTTCCGGTGGAGACAGCCGTTCGCAATTCGATGTTGATGACTGAAATTCGGTTGAAGTGCTGGAACTCAACATTTCCGCTTTGAAATGCGCGGAGATTTCCTCAACTTCCGTAATTTCAGTCACAATTTCTTCGGTTGAATTGATATTGGTCTGGAATAATTAGATTTTTCGGGGGGTTTAGCCCGGAGGAGTCGAGAATTTTAATATTTTACCTGGAATTCAGACATTTTTGGGGCTCCGCATGGCTTCTCCGTCGTTACCACAATATTTTTGTTTAGGACTGCCAGAGTTTGTTTTTCCACTCGATATGGGGCTGTGGAAGTAATCAATAAATGTCCTGTGCCTGGAGTAATTAATTATACATGCCTTTCCCGCTATGTATACCAAATTTTGTGGCGGATAAGCACGAATGAGGGAGAAAGGATTTTGAGGGATTATTGAATCGGTGGTTTTTTCGGTTTTGGGCGATTTCGGAATGTCAAAGTTTGGGCGGTGGTGTAACCTCAGAGAGCTGTCAAGTAATTGGGATTTTTCGAGGATTTTTCGACGCTTGGGGATTCATTGAAACAGCTGACAAGATTGAGGGATGGATTGAATATCTGAAAATGGACGGGAATATTGGGGAGAATATTTTAATCGCTGGAAATCTCGTACCTAAGGTATTTTTTGTCATTTCTTCAGTGGTTTGAGGTTAGGACAGATGAATTTTTTGCGCAATTCTGTTGAATTTTTATTGGAAGTCTATAAGAATTCTCTTGAAGTTTTGTTAGAGTTCTGTTGAAAAATGCAATTCGTTTTTTGCGTCATTTCTATAGAAGATTAGGCTTCTATAGGATATTTCTATTGAAATTTCTGTTGGTTTTGGACCGATCCTATTGAGATGTTCTATAGAAAATATTCTATAGAAAAAGACAATAGAATTTGATTTTTCTATACAACTTATTCTATTGATTTCCATCCTTACACTTGAAATATTTGAATATTTCAACATTTAAAGATCAATCCCCCTCCTTGAGATCATGGTTAATATTAACTTCTTGAACTTTCAATGTTTTATTTTTCAATAAAATTCGACTTTTCTATACAACTTATCCTATTAAGATATTTTTTTTACAATTTACTCGATTCAAATTTTCGAGGTTTTTTTCATTCCTTCGTTTATTTTCATCAAGAAAATCAAATGAAGAAAGTTGGAAAATTTGAGCCAAGAAAATTCTATAGAAAATATCTGAATAGAATGAATTTGTAAAAAAATCGAACTCTATTAAATTTTTCTATCGAATATTTTCTATTGAACATTTCAATAGAATCGGCCAAACACAAATAAGTTCAATAGAAATCCAATAGAATTCGCTAGGTTTTTTTATGAAATTTTTTTACCGTATCATTTTGATAAGAGATATTTGATAGGAAGAAGTTAATACATTTAGATTTTTCTATAGAAATTCTACAGCGTAAATTGTCCAAGTTTTTTTCCACTGTATTTTTATTTGTTTCTCATAATAAAATCCCAAAAACTAAAACTTAGAAAAATCATGTCCAGGCATTCTTATAGAAAAAATCCCAACAGAATAATTTACATATAAAAATCAAGATCTATAAGCATTTTTATATAATCCAATATCTATTTGAAAACGTGCAGGACGTTGTACAACTTTTAGTAGAATTGGTGCAAAAAAATATGATTTTCAATCAAATTCCAATAGACCTCTAATAGAATTCTCATAAAGTTCTAACATAAATTCAACAGAATTTCTTAGAGGAAGCGCTAGATTTTTCTATTAAATTTTTTCACACGTATAAAGAGATTTTTTAAATGTTCAATATATCAGGAATGAACGATCCTGATCGGTTACGGCCCGAATGGATTATCTTTCGAACGTTATCTCGATTGTTTTCCCATGTTCATAATCTAAAATATATCACAATTTTCACTGGATTTTACACCACTTAGGCATCTAAAAATTATGATTACACAATCACAAAAAGTAGAAAAAAACTGAACATTTTCAAAGAGCATTTCTAATAAAGATTAGGAAATAAGTCCGACAGAGAGGAAATTGTAAATGGACAATTTATCATGAGAAGTAACGATCTGACAGGCATTGGCTACTGAGACAAATGACGATTGAACAGCCATTAGATACTGTAAATAATTAATTTGCAATTTCCTCCCTATTGAGTTTATTTCCTAATATTATTCAAAAACGCTCTCTGAAAATGTTAATTTTTTAAACGTTTTTTTGATTGTACATTCATAATTTTTGAAAACCTTAGGGCTATGTAAAACTGAATGGCAATTGAAGGCCATTTCAGATTAGCAAATGAGAGCCCGGGTGGATTATCTTTCAAACGTTATCTCGATTTTTTTTTCATTTTCATAATGTAAAATATATCACAATTTCCATTGGATTTTACATCGCGCAAGAGTCCCTAAAAATTATGATCGTACAATCAAAAAAAGTAGAAAGAAAACTCAACATTTTCAAAGAGCGTTTCTAATAAATATTAAGAAATAAATCCGATAGAGAGGAAATAGTGAATGGATAATTTATCATGGTAACTAACAATCTTACAGCCATTGACTACTATGACAAATGACGACCTAACAGCCATCAGATAAATCACATTATTAACTTGCAATTTCCGCCCTATTGTGTTTATTTCCCAATATTATTCAAAAACGCTCTTTGAAAACGTTCAGGTTTTTTTCAACGTTTTCTTGATTGTACAATCATAATATTTAAAAACATCAGGGCTATGTAAAACTGAATAGCAGTTGAAGAACATTTCAGATTATCAACTTAAAAAAAACAACCAAGATCACGTTCGACAGGTAATACACGCGGGCCTTAGCTCGATTTATTTAAAAAATTTGAATCTTCTCCGTTTTTATTGCGAATTTTTGCATTTGTATGGGTTTCCAGACGCCTCCATTGGCTTATTATATTCCTAATTTCATAACTGATGAGGAAGAAGCTGAAATTGTGAAGTATGTTAACAATGCGCCCCAGCCGAAATGGACCCAGTTGAGTCACAGAAGACTGCAGAATTGGGGAGGTATTCCTCACCCTAAAGGAATGATCGCTGAACAAATACCAAGTGTAGGTCATTTTTATTACGTTCCGTTTCGACAGCTGCCTTTAGATTTGAACGAAGCTAAAACAACAAGATAAACTTGTTTTTATCAATTCGTCAAAATCCTTTTCATCTTCTCCAATATCTCTTGAATTGTTGAACTGGCTATTATTTTCCAGTGGTTGCAAAAGTACATCGATAAAGTCACTTCTCTGGATGTTTTTGATAGAAAAACATTGCCAAATCATGTTTTGATCAACGAGTATTCGCCAGGGCAGGGGATAATGGTATGAAATCCTCAAAACTATCATTCAAGTGTATTTTTTGTATTAGAAATAATTTAAGTTACAAAACTCCTCAGCTATCCTGTTTGATCGTGTTTTTAATTATCAAATATTGTAGATGTAGTTGATTTTCACAGGGACATTCCGATGGCCCTCTCTTCCATCCCATCGTCACGACCATCAGCTGTGGATCCCATACTTTTCTTGAATTCACCAAACGTCTAGATACGAACGAAGTGAGTTCTAAAATAAAAAACTAACTCATGAAAAAATTCTAAAGTAGAGAATTATTTAAAAACAAAATTATAGAACAATATTATTTAATTTAGTCAAATAATATGAGGACACCATTAAAAATGTTTGATATAAAACGTTAAAGAAAATATTCTGTAGAAAAAGTCAGTAGAAGTCGATTTTTCTGTACAACTGGTCCTTTTGTGATATTTTATGTAAATTGTACTCGGTTCAGACTTTCTAAGTTTTTTAAAATTCTATTTATATTTTATTTTCATCAAAAAAATCAAACAAAAGAACTTTGAAAATTTAAACAGAGGCAATTCTATAGAAGATATCTCAATAGAAGTTAATTCAAGTTCATCATAAGACTATATCATTCTTGCACTTCTAGATTAATTATTATCAATAATATTAGACCGTCGATTAAGCACAAACTCAACCACATTGTTTATATCCATTTTAACTTTCGTTTAGAATTTATTTCAGCTTTTAATCTTCAAAATTCAATTTTTTTTATAATACTTTACAGAAGAAGTCAAGTAATTCTATTCATTTTTTGCGCTGATTCTATTGGATATTCGATAATAAAAAGTCAATAGATTTCGAATTTCTGTTCGAATTTTTCTCTTGAGATTTTTTCTATTAGAATTATTGGGCACAAATTTTCTAAGTTTTCTTCCGCTGGATTTTGTTTTGTTTTACATTACAGAATCCGAGTGGAAAAAACTTAAAAAATTGATGCCTAAGCATTCTTATAGAAACAATCTCAAGAGAAAAATTCAAACAGATATTCAAAATCTATTGAATTTTTTCATGTGTGTAGTCGTGAGCTTCTAACGACAAGAAAGTGTCCAGACCCATCGCTAATAACCCAGCTGTTAATGCGTCGATAAGCCCCAACAGCAACCAAACAAACAAAATAGAAAATTCCATCCTTGCATTTATTTTCAGGAAGCCAGGACAATGACCACTGAATTCGCATTTTTGCTGGAGCGAAAGAGCCTCCTGATCCTTCAGGAAGAACTGTACCACAATTACCTACACTCAATATCGGAACGCAAAGTTGATGTTGTATCAGTCGACAATATCCGCAATTTGGAGTTGTGCGCATCGAAGTACATAGATGGTGAAATATTAGAGAGAACAACGAGATTGTCATTGACCATTCGTCATGTGCCAAAGACCAGCAAACTCAAGCTCAAATTTTGATGAGTTAATTATCTAATGTTCTAGATTTTATACTTTAAAAATACACGACAACTCACCTCTGTTATTTATTGTCTCTTTATTGGATTATGTTGTTACGTAGTGCTCTGAATCCTCGTAATTCTCGAGACTAACGTCCATTATTTCCTCGTCAGATTCGTCCAACATACTTTGAAGGGAATGGATTGATGATATTAATACGTGGAATTGTTTTCTTCTCATTTCTAATTTGTGTTCTAAACGCTCGGATTTTTCCTGGAAAAACATTATTATTTATTTATTCATTTTTAATATTTTTTTTACATTTTTTATTGAATTGAATTATATTATCATTCGTGTTTAGAAATTTTGTTCATCAAAAAAAAAAATTATTTGTTGCTTTCGTATTTTGATAACTTTTCTAACTCCAAAAACATTAAGCACGAAAAATGTCATGGAAAAGCCTTATGAATGCGATAGAGAATTCTGGAATTCTATTGAAGTTTTATTGAAAATTCTATTTGTTTTTGGTCGAATCTATTGAAGAATCTTTGCTTTACTGCGCGTTTTTCGATGGGTTGATGCTATAGAATATTTTCCATTGAAGATTTCGATTGAAAAAAAAACATGCAAAAAAATTATAAAAAAACTTGGCGAATTTGATATACAATTCTGATGGATTTCTTTGAACTTCCATTGAGAATTCTAGTTGTTTTTGGCTAATTTATTGGAGAATTTTATGGAATTATTTTCTGGAATAAAAACAGTAGAATTTCATCTTTCTTTTGTTTCTCTATCGAGACATTTTCTATAGAAATTCCTTGGCATGAATCCTCCAAGTTTTTTTCACTCTATTTTTCTTCTCTCTTCATTGAAAAAAAAAACAAAAAAATTAACAAGTAGAGCCGAATAATTTCTGTAGAAAATATCTCACCAGAATAAGTTACATAAAAAAATCCAATTCTATTGATTTTTCGTTACATTTTTTAAAAATCTATTGACTTTTCACAGAAAAAAATCGGTAGAATTTCATCTGTCTATACAATTTTTTCGTACGTAAATTTCTCTGATAGTCGACAGAAAAGTATTTTGCTAATGAAAAGAAAAATTTCTCCTTCATTTTTAAAAGATTTTTACCATTTCCCAAGCTTCAGAATGAAATCTGAATGAATTTCCTCTCAATTCTCCACAAAAAAATGTATAAAGTTAAAAACTCCACCTTCAAGTTCCCAAGCTCTTCCTTCAGCGTCTCCAGCTTCTTATTAGTCTCTTGCCTGTCTGGCTGTTCGTTAATAACCTTAGCCAACACATCATACTCAATCCTATTTTTTCTAATCTGTTTGGCCTCCTGCAGTTCCACTTTGGTCGCATCAATAGCCTTCTTCGCCTCTTCAATCTCCACCTCGATGTCTTTCGACAAGGTCTCGTAATTCTTCAGCTCCTCCTGGCTCATTGCAGAGACTAGTCTCGTCTTCTTCTGGGCAAACTCACATTGTGCCAATTGCGAGATTATTCTCTCGTAGAGGGTATTGTCCGCTTCTGGGTTGTTCACCCATTTTATGAAGGACTTTAGAAGGATATTTATCCTGCGATCATCCCCGGTTCCATCCCCATCTATCAGCAATCGTCGTCTTATGACTTCCTCTGGAAATAAAAATCATGTTGAACTATTCAATTTTTAGGTGGAACAAGGGACGGAATGGAGTTACTCACCATCAGACATTTTTTCTTATTTTTTAATTGAAAATAAAGTATTTTCTGTGAACGTTTTCACTTTTATTCCGCAGTGTTTTGGTTTCACCGCATCCTAACCACAAATTCACTTTTGAAACTAGTGATTTTCTTCCTAGGGTCCCGAGAGAGGCATCGTGAATACTACATTATTGGCGCTTCATTCAAACAGTTCACACAAAAGGTCGGTGAAATAATTTAAAAATTACAATTTTTGAACATTCCGACCTTTTTGCTTCCGAATGGAAGCCTTGTTTTTGACCAATTTTTCGATTTTCTAATTTTGATTGCAAATGGTCTAGAATGTCATGAAACGTAAAGAAATGTTTTTAGGGTCATGTCTGTATGTATGTACCGATAACTTGGGTTTTTGGTGATTAATTTGTAGAAAATTGATTGAACTCAACTTTGACGCGCTTGTTTCGGCCCGATCAATCCAGTTGTTCTTGAGAACTATCAACTTGTTTAAATTTCGTTTTTCCCCAATATCTCAAAAACTACTGCACTGATTTCGAAGCCGAGTCGTCCGCGTGTCAACTTCGCGCTCTAACCACACAGCCATCGCCGTCGGTCTGTTTTTTTTAATATAAAAATTTGCCATTCTTTGCGCCATTCATGTAAAATAGGCAGAAAAATTATCCTTAAAATATTTAAAATATTCTCGATTCTTTCAGAAACATTTTTCGGGCTAATTTGCATGAATTTTTCGGACAATTTTTTATTTAAAAAAAAACGAAATTAGCTGTGTAGGAGTTGAATTTCAAAAATTTAATTCGTACACGGAGAGAAATATTCAGCAAAAATTATAGGACAATTCACGTAATCCGCACTGGGGAATCGTTTTCCGGCAATTTTTATTGGAATGGAAGACAAGAAATCTGATACGTTCAGTGAATTCTCAGATTCATCACCGAACAAAGTACGAAATTGTCACGTAATTTTTCCCGAAGAAGTAAAATCGCACAGAAACTTGTCGAATTATTATGCCTCCAAAATAAAAAATTCTTGAACGCTCAACAATTTTTATGAAGCTGGTGGGTTATTCCTATGTTCCGTTCCGTAAAATTTCTCAATCGTTGGAGAAAAATTGCGGGACGACTTGTTGTCCCCACAGCGGTGAGTCATCAGATGGGTGGTTAATTTTTACGGAACAAATCGTAGAATTTACGTGGCGATTCATACAATTTCAGTTCCGACTCCCACTTTTTATTGCATTTTACTTCGCTCGCCGATTACGTTTCGAAACGCAATTGTTACGGTTTTTTTCTGGTAATTTTTATTGAATTTTTTCTCTCCGTGTGTGGTAGACGACAAAATGACTGTTAATTTTCCTAATACATGCTGAAATTTGAAGAAGGACTGTGTCCTCTTGCATCGTAAAACTTTATTATTTTTGCTTTTTGGTTTTTCCCAGTGAGAGTTTTCACTTGGCTATTCACGGACGAAAAAAATTAATAGAAAAACCTTTCGAATTCGTTATAAAATTCTATTGAATTTCTATTGAACTGTTCTATTAGTTTTCGGTCGATTCTATTGAAATTTTCAATGGAAAATATTCAATAGAAGAAGTTAACAGAATTCGATTTTTCTATATAACTTATTCTTTTCAAATATTTTCTATAGAATTTGCTCGACTCAAATTTTCTAAGTTTTTTTCATTCTATTTTTCTTTCTTTCTCATCAAGAAAATCAAACGAAAAAACAGAAAATTTCAGCCGAGGAAATTCTATAGAAAATATCTCAACAGAATAAGTTATATAGAAAAATTGAATTCTATTGACTTTTCCTACTGAATATTTTCTATTGAACATTTCAATGGAATCGGCCAAAAACTAATAGAACAGTTCAATAGAAATTCAATAAAATTTTCTAACGAATTCGAAAGGTTTTTCTATTCAATTTTTTCGTCCGTGAATAGCCAAGTGAAAACTCTCACTGGAAAAAACCGAAAAGCAAAAATAATAAAGTTTTATAATACGATTCAAGAGGACACAGTCCTTCTTCAAATTTCAGCATGTATTTAGGATTATACCGCTCTCCAGCGCAGAGCACAACGGATAGCAAATGAGTATTATTACTCGTCCCTTTCTAGAACTGTTTTCCCAGTATGTCATGAATCTTTGTCGAGTAATTTTTGCACATAATAAAAGAGCTGTGCTCAAATATTCCAACAAAAGTCTTCCAAAATGATTCATTATTGATCAAATCCATGCAGCAAAAGTAGATGAGTAATACAGATTCTGGCCTAAGGGTCTGGCGGAGACCTCGCCAAAGGGCCCCGCGAAGGGGGTCGGGTGGGTGGAAGGGTTGATTAATTCGCGGGTCGCAATTAAATTCACGGTTTTTTCTGTCAAATGGGGCTCTTTCTACGACCTAGTCAATCCATCCCCGCGAGGATGAAAGGCTTGATTGATTTTCAGGTTCATTCGAGGACCGATCCGCGGGTCGTGATTTGATTCGCGGTTTTGGTGCTCTATCAACGACCTAGTCAATCCATCCTCGCGAGGGAATGAGTGAAAGGGTTGATTAATTCGTGATTCGTGGTGTAATTCGCGGTTTCGGGGATCTATCCACGCCCTACCCAATGCACCCTCGCGAGGGGGTGGTTGAGCGAAAGGGTTAATTAATTCACGGTTTAATTCGCTAATGGACTCATTAATTAGACGGTATTTACGACATTGTCGATCCCCACCCACGAGGAGATGGTTGGGTGAAAGGGTTAATTAATTCATGGATTTATCAATTAATTAATTAACCAATTAGTGGATTTCAAATGATAAGAGTTATCCACACCCCACGATGAGGTGGGTGGGTAAAAGGGTTAATTAATTTGCATACTCAATAATTAACTAATAAGCGTAAATGATTCGTAGTCTAATTAGTTGACTAATTAGGTGGGTGGGTGCCTCAAACACGTGTGTACGAGTACCTCCATTACGACTGATGAAACGATGCTGCTGACATGAGAAATTATA